GGAGTACCCGGAGAAAACCCACGCATGCACGGAGAGAACATGCAAACTCTACCCAGAAAGGTCCCCAGAATGGGATTTGAACCGGTGACCTTGCTGAGAGGCATCACTCTGTGCCACACTTCCATAATCCATATTAGTTCTTTCAGTCCTGTGTATATTTGTTTTAATGATCCTCTCTCTGCTCCCCAGTCACTGCCAGACAAACATCCTATAAAATTTAGTATTTTCTGACAGACAGCAAGAAAATGTTTTTGTTAAGGCAGAAAATAGTAATTTTTTTTCTGCTTCAATGTGGTGAATCTAATCAGACAAATTAGTGTGTCCGCAGCCGGCCCTCAACCCTCAACAAAAACCGCTTGCAGACCAAGTCCCAGCTCACACAGGGCTAGAGTCTGAGTGCTGATAACACGGCACATTTCATCATACTGCTCAGGCAGCCAGGAAACAGCCTGAATAGCTGCCAATGCTGTTTTACAATACACCAGATCCACAAGTCCAATCAGCAGAAATCCAGCCATCAGAATCTAAATATGTATAAATCTTCAGCATCCTGCAGGAACACATCAGCCAGTATCAGTTTCCACGTCCAGAGGAACAAGGATATATCCAGCTAGTTGTCCCAGTCCAACAAAAGGTCCCTCCTTGACAGAAATTTGATCTGAAGTTTCTTTAAGAAACCAGCTAACCAAATCCAGAAGAACATATTCAGAAAAGTATGGAAAGAAGCCAGTAAGCAGGAAAGGTGGGAGAGAAGGAAGAGTGAGGTGGTGGGATATAAGCTTAGATAACCTGTGTGGATGTGTTTTGGCAGGATTGTTTCCAACTATTGACAGACTTCCAACTCAGTTTGACAGACTCTTGTGCCGACAGTGCTTCTTTTAATTTTATATAAATTACTCCTTGAACTGTTTTATTTTCTCCTAGAATTTCCTTTTCCAAAAATAGTGTCTTGCCATTTAACAAATAACCTTTGTTTTCATGGAATTAATGCTTAAATAATATTCACAAATGTAAATTTTAAATCATCTTGCCGTTTTTAAATTCTTTCATTAAGTGCAGTTATTTCAAGTTGAGCAGTTTCAGAGACAAAGATCTCTGCTGAATGAACCAAAACATTTAATGTAGTTTAAAAATTTATTTACAATGTCAAGTTTAGACAAATTTATACAACTTACTGACAATACAGTTAAAAATAATGTAAAAAGAGCTGGACCTGTTCAACTTGAACAGGAAGTTTGTGTCTACCTCGACCTGCCGACAGACAAGTCAAAGATCCAATAAAAAAAAAAAAAAAMAAAAAACAAAAGAAGGAGCTACACACAGCTAAATACCCTCAATAGAGATCAAAAATAAAATAAAGAGTAGTGCTGGTGTTTAGTCCCCTGGCTGCAGCCTCACAGGGCCCRGCTGTCCCACACCTCCTGGGACTTGGACCCCTCCAGCTGCTGCAGGTGGAGGGCCAGCGGCAGCAGCAGGTCGCTCAGGTGCTGGCTGGAGAAGGTGAAGGCGTTGTGGACCGCCATGTCCGGGGACGGGGTGGTCCCAGGTGAGGCGGACAGCGGGGACGAACAGGTGGAGTTGTTGGAGGAGGTGCGGTCCGAGGGCAGGGACAGATGGGAGCTGCGGGTCTTGTTGGGCAGGCCATGCTGGAAGCGGCAGCGCGTGCCGTAGAGGCAGAAGCCGAAGGAGCTGAAGGTGTGGCACAGAGCCCCCCGGGGCTTCCACTCCCGAGGCTGCACCTGGGGGGTCTTCTCCCCATCAGCCAGAGCCTCCTCTTCCATGTGCAGGAAGTTGCAGCGCGTGCCGAAGGGACATACGCCGAAGGAGCTGAAGGTGCGGCAGGGCACGTTCCTGCGGCGGCGGACCACCTGCCGCCGCTCTGAGGGGCTGTGGACGAACAGGCAGCGGTTGCCGTAGTAACAGTAGCCGGCCGTGTGGTAGCTGCGACACAAGGCCGTCTTGTACTTGGGGTGGTGGGACGGCACGTGCAGCTCGTGGAGGCCGTGAGCGAACTGGCAGCGCTCGGCGTAGCTGCACGAGCCCACAGCAGAGTAGCTGGTGCACAGCTCCGTCTTGTAGCGGGTGGAGGACCCCCAGGGGACCTCCAGAGGGTGAGGCAAGTCCACCAGGGGCTGCAGGGCCTTGGTCAGGGACAGATCCCCTCCACTGTCAGAGTCCTCACAGCACAGGGTGTCCACCAGCTCCTCATCCTGACAGGAGGGCAGGAACAGGTCCTCACTGCTGGCCTGAAGGTGGAACATGGAGACCAGACTTAATCACCAAGACAAGACCCCCAACAACGACCACGGAAGACCCCCCCCCCCCCCACACACACACAC